GTTAAGTTCCTTCTTTCATCGCCTTGACCAGCCAACCAGGGTCAGCAACGGTCGTCCTTTCCCTTTCCGGAAGGCCAAAATTGAACCAATAGGTCCAGATACACCAATGAAGGGCTTTGTAGATGATCTTGACTCTGTGGATCATCATGGGAAGATGCCTACGGATAGAGTAGCTCACGTTAGTGTACCTAATTCAGGTCCAGAATGGTGGGAGACACAAGAACGGGGCGACCAGGGAAGTTTTGCAGACGAATCTGGCCAAGTTGGTCCTCATGTTTCCTGCCGTTGTCAGGTGTGTTGTTCTCATTCTGTCCAATTGTCATTGTTTCTCAAATATAGATGTGTCAATGACTCTGCATTTATCCTTTTCTGTGATATATTTATATAATCGGAACCAGAGCTTCATATATTTGAAAGGTGATAAAAGCTATTTACATCAGTCTACGTTACTTGTTTAGAGAAGCAAAATATCTTGAATCTCCTTGCATTTATCAATTTTTGTGCAACATATACTCTAAAATACCATAGTAGGTCAGTTATACAGGTACTTATTTTTGTTTATTTTGGACCCTCTTTCTACCATTCCAAATATCCTCTAATTGTCCCTTAGGTCATCCGGAGTGTTAGTCAATGGTCTGCTGGAACTAGCCAAACAGAAGAGAGCATCCACAATGCTTATTGCTCTCTTATTGAGAAGGCAGAATACTTCATCTACATTGAGGTATAATGATTTCCTTGCTTATCATCCTTACATGTTGTAGGAGGAAAATCCCAGGCTCTCATTATATTGCTTTGTTTCTACTTTGACTTGGAGTTTGGACAATGATTGATCTGATGAACTCAATGCATGATTGACTAATTAGAAGTAGAGTTTTAGCTGTCTCGTTGATATCACGCATATGTTATCTCCTGTATTATTAAGATGTTAAAAGAAAGGGCATGTCTACATTAACTACTGTTTAATTTTTAAGATAACTTCTTCCTTTAATCTTGAGATTTTCACTTCTCTAACATTATTTGAAAAGGGGAAAAAGCTTATTTTTCATGAGCAGCTGCATAGGCCAACGCCACAGTGCAAGCTTTTGCACCTGTTGTAAACCAACCTTTGTGCCACTTTTTGGACTGCTGGACTGAATCTCTGACTGAGAACTTATTTCAGCAAATATAATGGGAATCCCATTTCAACAGTCCTAAAACTGCCACTCATTGTTTGCTTTGCTAGTCAGCCATATCCGTCGATATTCCATTTTTCCTTAATACTGAATATAATTAATAGTCTATGCATCCCTTCTTTCTATGCCAAAGGCCAAAGCCCTGCAACAGGACCAGTGGTGAGCTGAGTGGAGTGCATGTATAATTAATGGATATCTCCCCACTATAATGAACTATTAGTTGACATATCAGAATACCTATCAATTAGGTTTTCGAAGAGGAAGTTGCTCTTTCTCTAATTATTCAGGTAATAGCTTGTATGAAGACCCAAAACTGTATTTTAATTACTGGAAAGCCACACGGGAACAGATATACTTATATGAAGGGTAAAACATGTTTTTAAGGAAGGGGATCAATTGCTTTTTTTATTATAAAAGTAATTTAATAAGAACAGAGAGGATATTGCAATTAGCAGGCAGCCTGGTATTGTGAATAAGAGCCCTTCTTAGATAAATGGACAAGAAAACTAATTAACACAGGCAAAAAGAGAGGGGTTTGGGGTTAGTAAAGACCTTATCTCAAGAGGTCAAGTATAAAACTATTTAATAACTTGTCATACAGTAAAAGGAAAATACAGTGCCTCGTTAAATATAATTGAGCAGTCTGTTTTATCTATAATAAATTCAATATTGATTTGTGTGTATTTTGTGCATTGCCTTTTATGGACTTGACTGAATCAGCTTTGATGAAGTGATATAATAAATATAGTTTTCATATTCCCTTGTTTGGAGAGTTTTCCCTAGTTTCGTATGATTGATCTTTATTCTAAACCTTGTTCTGATTGTTCTATTTCATCCTTGGCAACTCGCTCCAGAATCAATTTTTTATCTCAGGTCTTTCAGGAGATGAGATGATACGAAATCGTGTTTTGGAAGCTTTGTATCGACGGATTATGCGAGCTTACCATGACAAAAGCCCTTTAGGGTTATAATTGTCATACCACTCCTGCCTGGCTTCCAGGTTCTAATTATTTATTTATTTTTTGTGACTGCTTCAACACTAACAACTATATATTTTTTCCCCATGGATGTTGGACTTACTTCTTAATTATGTAGGGAGGCCTGGATGATAGCGGTGCAGCATCCGTCAGAGCAATAATGCATTGGCAGTATCGAACCATTTGCAGAGGACAAAATTCTATATTACATAATCTGTTAGAATTTCTCGGTTCGAAAATACATGATTACATCTCTTTCTATGGCCTTAGGGCATATGGTAAACTCTTTGATAGCGGTCCTGTGGCAACCAGCCAGGTATTCTCTTGCATTTATACGTCTTGTGGTTCAGCAAATAGACCCTGTGAAGTTAATCATTGACGCATACTGCAGGTTTATGTTCACAGTAAAATCATGATTGTTGATGACTGTACGACTTTGATCGGATCTGCTAATATCAATGATAGGAGTTTACTTGGCTCCAGAGATTCTGAGGTACCCCTTCTTTACATTTTGCAATCATGCATTAACAACCTTTTTCTTGTGGAAATGAGCCAGATAGTCCATGTTCCATCAAACACTTGTTCTACATTTTGTAACTCTGTCCTTTTTAAAATATAAAAAAGAAAAGGATTTTTTTTTCCGGCCAGATCTGGGGTAAAGCGTGCATCTTTATTATTTGGTTTGTCATGAATATCTTTGTATTTTTCTCCAGGTGATCTGTTGGGCCTGAAATATGGAGTCTTATAAGTAGGGCTAGAATAACTAAAACTTGTTTCTGAACGTCTCAATTTGTGGTGGTCTCAAAATGTTTTTCCTGCTGCCAACATCTTTCTCACCCAAAAAATTTAAAATGGTGATTAATCTGTTGCTATATGCTTCATTTCTGATTTTCTATCGGGTTCTTGGCCAGGAAAAAAAAATCTATTGTTAGCTAATGCATAATTGTTGCACCCCTTTCATCCCTTTGTCTCTTCTGTGAATTTCAGATCGGTGTAATTATAGAAGACAAAGAACTGATTGATTCGTTTATGGGTGGGAAATCACGGAAAGCAGGAAAATTCTCTCTAACTCTGCGGTTGTCATTATGGTCTGAACACTTAGGTCTGCAAGCAGGGGAGGTTAGGGCATTTCAATCCTTCCAAGAGAGTAGTTGTTTTATGTTGTTGTTCTGGAATGACTCTGTTTATTTCCTCAGATCAATCGAATAATGGACCCAATTGCTGACTCGACATATAAGGATATTTGGATGGCAACAGCGAAGGTAATCAGAAAATATAATGTTAATATGTCTTACCACGTGTAAGTGGAACGGTGTTGAATATTTATGGCAATATCCTTGAACTTTTCAACGTGAGGGTTTATGTTCATCGGTGTGTTTGGCTGTGGCCAATATCCTTTCACTTAATGGTTGCAACTGTTGGATTGAATTATTTAGGTGATGGTGATTGTATAATAAAATGTCTACTTCCCATGTGTTTATTACCTAATGTAATGGCAAACACCTAAAAGTTGTATCAAAGATTTCTAATTCTTCATTCTTTTTCTGAATATTTTGTTGGCAACGAAATGTCTTGGATATTATCCTGACTGTTATGGCATAACAAATATGCTAATGATTGTATTTGGATACATGTTGCAGACAAATACTGCGATTTATCAGGATGTCTTTTCTTGCGTACCTAATGATCTGATACACACCAGGTATGACAACGGCCATTTTCATCCTTCTTCCTGTTTTGGATGGTTCTTAATCTCATCTAATTTCTCGTCCTGCTTTTTAAATCATGTTACTGTGCAGACTTGCTTTCAGGCAAAGCACAGCTCTCTGGAAAGAAAGAATTGGTCATAGTACCATTGATCTAGGAATAGCCCCAGAAAATTTAGAATCCTATCACGATGGAGGCGTCAAGAAAACTGACCCTTTGGAGAGATTGGATTCAGTGAAGGGTCATCTTGTTTCCTTCCCCTTGGAGTTCATGTGTCAAGAAAACCTAAGACCTGCTTTTAATGAAAGCGAATACTATGCTACTCAGGTTTTCCATTAAAATGTGATTGGCTGAAGTGTAAATCATCAGGCATTTTTTTATCACAGGGAAATTTTAATTTATTGTTTGCAGAATTTCTTTTTATTAAAATTCTGCAAGAGCGAGATGAAAGGAAAAGAGAGGCTCTAGTTAGATTTTTTTTTTTTTAATCAGGTTCCTTTGTAGAATTCATATATAAGAGCTAGTTGTATAAAATCCATTGATCAATAAAACACTGATTTACTTTCATGCTTTTCTTCATTACATTCTTATCTTTCTCATCTCCGGACAGTATTTAGTATTTACAGAAGTTCCCTGTAGAGTTCTTCTACGCGAGGTCCAGAACCTTTTACACTTGCCTAATTCCTGAAAGGGACTCTTTGACCTACAATTAGTTAATATTCATGTCATTTTTTTCCCCTTAAAAAGCTTTTTTTTTTTTTTTTGGCCCACGAAGCATATTTTGTATCGAGGCATTATTTTTCTGTAAAATGAAATATCATTCTTATCAATTATTAATATTAGGTTAAAAAAACGAAAATAATAACATTCCACAGAAGCAATTACCCATAGGTACCCAGCAGAAAAAGAATTAAATATAGAAATGTTTGGAAAAATTCATACTTACGAGTTCCAAGTCAGACTGACATGTTTGCAAGTGAAATTTGTACAAGTTAATGTTAAAAATTTATGTTTAAAATTAAATGTTTGTATTTAAAAATAGATTCTCAAAATTGTATAATTTGAAAAAAAATGAATTTTTTTTTAGTGAAAAAAAGAATTTTTAGTAATGCCGATGCGGTCTTTTATTTGCGAGTCCCACATACGCTCGCGATTCCAATCTTCGACGACCCTGGTTAATCACATCATGTCTTCCGGTCAACAGCATAACAACGTGAAGGTTCTCAGCGATGAGTCCGACTTTGAAGCGCTCGTCTCCAAAGACGGCTATATCTCAATTTGTGGCTTCGGTTCGCTTCTTTCTGGTGTGTTTTTACTTTGTGCTGCACTTGCTATCAATGCCTTGTTAATGCGTAGTCAATCGTAATGTGTTGTGGTTTGATGCAGAGAAAAGTGCGAGGAGCACATTTCCGAACCTTGTAAACTTCAGAATCGCCAGGCTGAGCGGCTTCCGCCGGGTCTTCACGGCGGTCGGAGGCTTTTTCTTCGTGCACGGCATTGCCAACATGGAAACTGAGGTTTTTTTTTTTTTTTAAGTTACGAGCTTTTAGTTGGATAGAATGCTCTGCTGTGACTAACTTACATTATGATGAATCTAGTTGTTGGGAAATTGGAGGTAAAATCACAAAAAGCTTAGTTTTACTAAAAGGAGCTTTGTGATCATGTTGAATATGCTCGTTTCATTTACTGGTTTACTTGAAAACGTGATCTTGGCCTCATTTATTGTTATTCGATTGATGACTTTCAGGAGATTGCTAGCCTCTCTGTAGAGCCTTGTGAAAATGAAATCATTATGATCACAGTCTTTGAGATTGAGAAATCAGAGGTATTAGCTCACGCTCTTTGAATTTTCGGTGAGGATGATCTCTCTACTCAGTCTCCCACTTTTTTTATTCTTTTTTAAAGGTTTAGGAGGAATTCACTTATCATTATGGATGAAATTTAACCTTCTATGTCCTTTCGGAGTCAGATTCCAGCTTTTATTCGAAGGGAGCGCGTATATCGCTTTTTAGCTGTGAGTTGCTCTTTTGTTTGTATTGATGTTCAAACGGATTTGGAACTTGGTTCAAGTATAACTCGATGTTGGTTTTCTCTTGTATAGGTCGTCCCTGAAACGCTGGACGGGAAGCCATTTCCCAATGAAGCGGTATGCTTTTCAAATTTGGCCTTGGCGCAATCTCTATGTTCTTTCAGTTTATTTGCAAGGTTACTTGCTACTGGATTTATGGTAGTATGTGCATCACCAATGCAGGTCCTTTGTTCTTCTTCCAGCGATGAGGAATTTTTCAAATTTAGATGCAAAGGTAATGTTTATAGTGCTAATTAAGGAAATGCAATGAAAGGAAGTATTCAATTGTCTCGAATACGGCCTTGTTAATTGCCATTCGTTGAAATTGCATCATATTGAATGATATGTGTCTGACCTACATCATGTACTTCTATAAGAGTAAGATTAGCTCTCCACAAATTTATCTGAGGCATGCATACATAATGTTAATGCTTCCCATACTGCTCTACAGCTGCATGACTGCAAGGCAACACGAGAATGACCGTGCACATATGAACAGTTCATAGGTTATATATCTGGGTCTGTTAATATCCATGTGAAAATGTAATTTGATGGCGGTAAAGTTTTGGGAATATCCTTATGTGAGCCTGATTTCTTTCGCTTTCCCATTGCAGAAATTATAAATTGAAGCTGGTCTGTCAATGATTTTTGACAATTTCAAGAGTAAATTTCTTATTCGTTTTCAATAACTAGGAAAATGTTGGAATGTCTACACTACATAGTTTACACTTTGTCATACGGTTTGCAACGCTTAGAAGATTGGATGAGGGCATAGATATCCCAATTTGTTATTGCCTTTGGCACCTTATATCGTTTTCTCAGTCTTTTTTTCTCCTTTTGTCATTTCTGCGACTGCATGATGCAGAGGGCAAGGAAGTTTATTTTCAACAATATGGACAATACAAGATCCATAAGATTTGGCGGGATGATGTTCTACCCTGCCGTGTTTATCTTCGACACTGGTAAGTTCTCTGTTCATTACAATAGTTGTTACTTCTGAAGGTTGTATAAATTATCCATTGATGAGAAAAACGGAACTTGATATTGAAATGCTACAGACACCCAAGTTCTTAGATCAGGGAATCATAGCAGACTGTTAATGTATTCTTTTCATTGCTTCAACACTGTAATTCACCTGCTACATGATCTCAGTCATAATATTATCTTCCCCTATACTTTTGCTATGTAATTTTATTGTCAAAGGATTTGAATAATGTTTTTGTGGGCTTAAACGGCCAACAACTAGATTCATCCACCAGAATTATTTTGCTAGTCCTCGCTTTGTTGGAAGTACCTAATCCATAGCTTATAGCCTATCTGCTGCGTGACATTCGTATTCATATATTATATTGTGATATCAATCGGCTTAAAACAAATTAATGCAGTTTGCTGGCAGCAAAAAACCTTAGTGATGAAGCTTACAATAATTTTCTGGATCATACCTTCCTTGGAGACCGTAAGACGAGCATACGTCAGTACTTAGAAAAGGTGGGAACAAGCATTATGGATGAAGAACCACCCGAATCTTTAAAAGCCCGTTATGGCGGTTGATGAAAGCAAGAAACCGTGTACTTCCAGTGAAGGCTCTCAGCTTATCCGTTTCTGGAAAATGATTATTTTCGTCAATTTCATGTTTGTGGGGTCACAAATTCTGTTAGACTAGAGAAGAGGGGGTGTTGTACCAATGTGACAGATTTCTTAGGATGAAGTATGGACAATAATTCAGTAATAGTTGGCAAATAAAAAGGGTGGCTGTAACGAAAATGGAAAACAAGTCAATATATCAGATAATTTACATGTATGTGTTTTCAGAAGCTGGCCTTATCATGTTTATTTTCTTTGATCCTCAAACTTTTTTTACTCATTAAAAATAGTTAATTTCTCTCACTTCTGCATCTACATAATTTATTTTCGGACAAAATCAATGTTTTCTTTTATTATTACTTGAGGAAGTTCTTTTTCCTCTTCATTCCAAAGGAAGCACACTGTTAATCCAGTTGTAATTAAAAAATAGACAAAATTGTACTTTCTTCTTTGCTTCCAACAAGAAGCAAGAAGCAAGAAGCAACATCATACATGATAAATTTTCAAGCATTCTTTTGAAAACTTGATTAACGTTATCATGTGACGATGATTTTGACAGAATGAAGTACTACGTTCGAAATTCATGTACCAGAATCATTTGTCGATAATTGTTAAACTTTCATTGGAGGAGTTGTATATATAATTCCTCCCAAGTCCCATATAATTTGAAACCCAGCAATAGAGAGAACAAATTTTAGAAACTTGTACCAGAGAGGATACATTAAAATTGTGTGAGCGCGGGCGCGCGTATCATGCTCCATAATATAGTTTGATTCAAAACCTGATCACAGCGTCCTTCATTTCACAGCCAGCATTTGGCCTCTTAAAAATCTCTGGGATTGCTGCTTCCTTCTTCATTACAAATCTTTTCTCTTTTCTTTTTCGATACAGCAAACCTTTTATCTTATCTCTTCCTTCCTGGCTCCATGGCTCCTCAAAAACCAACAAGTCCCACATCGAGATATTTGTAAAGAAAGGGTCGGCAGCTGCTTATAAATAACCGAACCATGAATTCTAGGTGTTTCAACCCGTCCTGTCAGGGGGTGAAAGGCGACTCGTCGATGATCGTTTAGAGACGGTGGGTCGTGCCGACACCTTAATGAAGAACACACTTACTTAGACGAGCGGCTCCTGCCCTACTTTCGGTGGGTCCGCCCGTCAATTTTTGGAAGCCTCTCTTCTGCGGGGAGGCTCACTGATTCTATTTTCCTAATTTCATCATAATTCTGATTCATGCGCGCTGGCGTTATTCCATTTAGATTCGGAAATTTCTGTTAAAAGATGGAAAATGGTGAATTTGAATGTTTACTTGCCACTGGGGTTTTCACTTTCTGCATTTTGTTGTCACAATGGCTATCTTCCTTGAGCTCCTTGTTCATAGGCATAAAACTATCAGTGATGACATCAGGTCTCACTTGACATAATTATGTGCGATATGTATGAGTTTTATCTATAGAAAACTAGCTATTTTGCATTTGGACTAATATAATATACGAATGTGCTCTAAATGCTGTACAGGGTTTGAAGTTCTAAGCAGGGTTTGCAGAGCGACAAACAGCAGACCTTTGTTAGCTAACCTGAAGATGATTGCAGTTGCCTGATGACAAGTAACAGGAGTAAGAACAAGGAAACTTCAAACAAAAAGCATCAAATTTTATGATAATTCAGGACCTTTGTGTAGAGAGACCATCATGACAGCAGAGTAAAATAAAGAACCTACATATATATATATATATATATATATATATATATATATATATTGTGCGTGTTTGTGTGTGTCGCCCATCTTCGGTTTTTGATTTGATACCATGGTAAATAAGTGTGAAAATTTGTGCTTTATAAGCATTTATCTCCAGACTCCTGTACTTTCAAATGTTCTGCGCGGAAAGACTGGGATTGCGTTGGATTCTAATTATTAGCAGTGCTTGAAATTGATGAGCTTTTCCTTTCAGAAGAAAAGAGAGAAAAGAGAGCACATACAGTATAACTCGAGACTGAATTTTCTTATGTGGAAGAGATAACTTCCATATCTGTTTTACTTATTTAAATTTAAAAATATGTGGCTTCATGGACTTGGGTTTGTCAACCCATCAAGGAAGGCCAACAATTTGACATTCATATACCAAAATTATTAGGTGCTTGTGGTTAGTGCCCAATAATGTTTTGAATAGGATGGACAAAAATTATTTGACAATAATTGTTACCCTTCACTCAAAGGATTTGTACATGTATAATTCCTGCCGTATCATTTGAAATCTAGAAATAATTAGGATCAGAAGCTGTCAAGAAATAAGCGGACCATACTATGAAGAGCTTCACCGTCCTGTCAGGAGGTGAAAGCTGAGCCGTCTGTGATCGTTTAGAGACAGCGGATGAAGAAAACACTTCTGTTCAAACGAGACAGGACCTGCCCTATTTTCGATGGTCCGCTCGTCAATTTTTGGGAGCTTCTCTACTCCCAAATTCAGTTTTGTCTTTTTTCCTTTTTTTACAAATTTCATACCATATTATAAATAAGCAGGATTTATATAGTTCTGATTCGGAGATTTCTGTGAAGGAATGTAAGGAGTAAGCTTGAATTTTTAATTTCTGTGAAGGAATGTAAGGAGTAAACTTGAATTTTTATCTTCCATTGGGGCTTTTTTTCCCCCCCGGTTTTACATTGTTGTGTCACAACTGCTGTCTTTCTCGAGTTCTCGAATTAACTGTTCCATCATCTTCTTGTACATAGGCATATAATGATCATTGATCATTGATTTTGAGAGTCGGAGCTTGCTGTACAGCTCTCTGGGTGTTTCATATAAACAGACGCGTTCCTCAACAGGATCATCAGAAATTGAGTCTGAATATGCCTCACAAGGTACAGGCACAATATGCATGATTCTCCCAGGAGGATAAAAGCGATGGCTATCTGAGTTGTTGGAAGATGTACTTGAGTTGCTGCTTTCTGAAACATCAACAAGAAGCTGATTATCTTCCTCTGTTATCTCTTTAGCTGCGGCTGCCCCTTCTTCTTCCAGGGCAATGTTCAGTGTGTTATCCGGCTTCTGAGGTTCCTTCTCCAGCCCACACCACAATTGGCCTTCAGTGATGTCATCAATGGTGGAAGTGGTGGCGCCTTGATTACCGGGAATGAGTTGCTCCTCTTCATCTGTGTCGTCATGGCAGCTCGATGCTCTGATTGAGTAACAATGATCAACTTTATGCAGCACTGGCTCAATCTCCATGACTTCAGTCAAAACACATTCAGTTCTCCCCTCAGATATTTGAGAAGCATCACCAGCCAAGTTCTCTATTTCGGAGCTAGATGATGGGTTAACAATGCAAGACCATGATGATAAAGACGATCGAGTTCGGACAACAGCTTCAGCAACACTTTGCGCACTCTTCATCACAACCTGCAAAAACAGCACAATCTCACCGTTACTAATATAAATTTCCACATTATGTGTGTAAAGAATTCCTACACAAAATGATCATATATAGAAAACTAGCTATTGACTAGGACAATACTACTTCTATCCCTTCACTCCCGTAATACATACTCGGACCTATTACTAGCAACACTTTGTTTCCGTCTGATGAAATGAATTCCTACAAATAGAATATCACAGAACACTAAGCAAAGGAAGTCACAGAGCTTGAAGCTACCTGAGTGCCACTGGTTACTGGCCGCAGAATAGCACCTGCACCAGCTACCCTAGCTTTTGCACTCGATATTGAAGGTATGTGCGACCCAAGTGCCGTTGCAGAGCGACAGACAACATTCAGGACCTTCGTACGGTGAACCTGATCTCGCAGATCATTCAACCAAGATGATGCAGTAACCTAACAACACGTACCATGAGTTAAAATAAGGAAACTTCAATCAAATAGCATCCATCTTTAAGAAAATTAAGGCTACTGTCTTTCAGGAGAATAAACTAAAGCACCTCAGCACGGAGATCATCAACAGAGGAAGCTGAGAAGGTAGGCACCAAGTCAGAGCCATTTATAATAGTGGTGATAAAGTGCTTCCCTGATTCTGCTAACTCCCATGTCATACAGGCAGCTGCAAAAATCAATCAAGGTCCTTTTGGTAAGTACGCACAGAATAATTTTAAATGTAAAAATGGCAGCGTAGCTATTAGCTACATACCTGGGGCAAATGTGACACAGGAAACTGAAGAGAATTCTTTTTGTTCTCTCAGGATATATGTTAACAGTGCTGCAGTGCCGCCGCCAAGGGAGTGCCCGACAATCTAATGAAGATTAAAAGAACACCTTTGTGTAAACATATTCTTAAAAGCACGTATAAAATCGCTGAAAAGACAAAGTTAAAAAGAAAAATGTGGCATTTAGAGTAAAACAACAAATCAGATAGGAGTATAATACCTTTACATTAAAGTCAGAAATTCACCGATGGCCTTGAGCAGGTTGGAGTGCAGAGCTTTGCAATCCAACGAGCTGCAACAACCATACCACAGTGTGCATATCCTAAAACTAAGTTGCTAATTCCACCATCATTTAAAACCGAATGATGGAAGGGCACCACAGCACCAGTTGCAGCCGTCAGTGTGTCTTTAATACTATGAGTACCCCGAATCAAAAGTAGAAAACATTTTGATGTTGCATCACGTATAATTGTGAAAGCAGGTCTTAGAAGCTGCATTAAAATTCAGTGCCATTGAATCAATCAATTATCTGTAAGACCAACTCATACAGTTAAGCAGCTCAATATAAGATGGCAAAAGAAATGCACTAATGCAGAGTGTTATTTGTAAGTATCAATCACTATCTGAGAAACAAACATTCACCTTTAATTTAGTTTTCTTTTTTTCTATTCCCGTATATCCATCTGTTTTCCGAGAAACTATTTACCAAGATGTAGAGCCTTCATGGAGGGACAAAAGAGAAACGAATGAATCACTCGCTAATATTTTAATATCTAGTCAGAAAGTAAAGGTTAGGCCCATGGTGTTGTCATCCTATGGTTTGCTTTTTGATACGGACATATCTGACACTAACAGTAATTTAAAAAAGTTAAACCTAACCTTCTCTAATAAAATGCTATAGTTGTGTCTGTTCAGTGGGATCCCAGGTGTTCCATATGGGAAGTGGGAATCACTATTTCCACTAGAAAACATTGGATTGAGTTATGGTGCTCCGAAAACATTAGTTGCCTTTTTGAATGCCACAGTTTGTCTTACTGTCCACACGTAAAACACGGGTCCTTTTCAGAAGGCCTAATTGTGATACAACTGGGATCACTTAGTTTCGTTCCTCCAATCCGATGAAGCCTACATCTTTCCCCGACAACATCTTGATACCCAATTCATGAATGTTCACTCATCACTGAATCTGAATCTAGGGACATAGATGAGGCGTAGGATGCAAGTCATTGCATTCTAATTTGGCTTGGAAAATGATAAAGAGAGAGACATGTACAACGTACCCCTGCTTTGGGCTTCTGCAGAAGGACATCGTCCAAGGAGAATCCGGCAGACTCCAAAAACAACGGAAATGGCTTCTTTGAGAAAAGCATACACATTGTCAACAACCTCAAGAGATCATGCAACTCCGCCATAATTTCGGAGCCTTTAAGTTGAACACAATCACTTCCCGCATATACACTTGCAACTCGTAAATTACCCTGCAAGTAATCTCATGCCGGTTAAAATCTCAAATCATACAACAACACGATCGATTTTGAAACTCAAGACTTCAAGATTCAGCTTCAAATTCAATGTTGAATTCGTCGAACTGAAGTGAAAAATCATGCACCAATGCACCATTCCCAAATGAACGGAACGGAAATTGGATTCAGCAGACGCACCTGTTTGCGCATAAAGTAATTAATGCCAAATGCCAAGTCACCGATGGGCCATTTACCCAAAGTCTCCGAATAGGTGAACCTCAATGTTTCCGATAACATAATAACCGATTCTAACAGAGTCGCCGGAGGCTGAGCCGGCCTTCGCGCAAGCCTTCTCCTCCGTAACGGTCTGCTGGATTTCGATAAATCCCCGTTAGGAACCTCGTTTTCTTCAGCCTTCCTCGCCAGGCTCCTAGTCAATACATAGTAAAGCATCGCCGCCGCTCCGGCTGCGGTCACCATCGTCCCAGCCCCCATGAAATGAGTTCCGGATCACTGAGAAGAAACTACTAAGCCAGAATCCAGAAAAGTAAATTCTAATCATAAGCAGAATCACCCAACAACTATACAACAATCGATCAGTATCAAAAAAAAAAAAAAAAAAAAGAGCTTGATTGTGAAGGAGATGCGAGCAGTGAACACAAATCTTGTGATGCGGAAAAGGAAACCGTGTGAACAAAATCAAAGGAAACGAAGAAAGATTTCAATTGAGGAAGAAATGAAGTAAGTACGTTCTAAAGGAGGTGGTGATTATTTATTTATGAGTATACCGGGAAACATCATATTCAGATGTCCGCGAAGGGACCGGGAATTATCATATTTTAGGATTTAACTCTATGCCCCAGAGGAAGAAATAATGGGATACTAATTTTTGTCTATCATTAAGAAAGAAACATAATTTAAAACATTTTCAGAATAAACGTGAATAACATACTAGGGATTAATTAAATAGTAATATTATTTTTGTTAAGAGAACTTTTTATTTGATAGATTAAATATTTAATCTAACAATGTGCATTTTGAAATTTAACCGACTAGTATTTACAGGCAATGCAAATTAATAATGAATTTCTACTTCAAATTTAATTTATTATTATGAAAATTAAAATTATTTCAACAAAAGTAAATAAAATTCCAAAAATATTATACTTTAATCAAATGATCATATTTTTTGTAAAGAATTTATTGATTATAGTGAACTGTGTTCATTTGAATAATGGAGAAGCAATAACGTGTTTCATCAGGTTTAGTTAATTTTATTAAATTATGAATATATTTTGTCTATGAAAAAATTGGAAAAATCCCAAAAAAAAATACCACTTAAATTTTAAAATTTCAAATCATTCTGCACCTAAAAAGTAAATGACAACACAATTTTATACAAATTTATGATTTTAAATTTGAAATTAAAGTGGTATTTTTTCAATTTTTCCTAAAATTTTTTTATGAATTTAATGAAGAATATTATTAAAATGAGCACTTTCGTTTAGTTGTCTTTTGTGGGACAAATATAGAAAGCGGTGGGTCCATGTTGCAGTCAAGGCTCGCGGTGGAATATGATTGGTTGGTAGGTGGAACCAACTCAACGATGCCCAGTATAATTAACTAGATAATAGATCATTTTGGCCTAAACAAAAAAGGTATATGCATATATTTTATATATATATATATATATGGATTATCTTGTAAAAGGTCAACTTTTTAATGCTGAAATCTCAAAACTATTTTTCTTTTTAATTTAATCCTAAATATAAAATTTTAATCTATTTTATTTTTTATATTTATTTATTTTTAAAAGTAGTCATTGTAATAGTTGTATATATTAAACGTTCCATCAAATGATAATCCTAACTAATACACATGATTAGTAAGGATATTTTAGAAAAAAAATAATACATATTTTTTATAAATAACTATCTTAACAAATTTTTTTAATCCACTCAAATTAATTAACTAATTTTTATATTAAAGAGAAGAGGTAATATTATATTATTGCGAGAGAGGGGAAACATACTCCTCAGTTAGTTAGATCATATGGATCCTGTTCTACAAAATTATCAATAAGAATGAAAATAAGACATTAATATATGAAACTATATAATACTTTCTATTATTAGCAAATAATACAAGTCAATTAAAAATAGGAAAATAATATGTATCATGAAGAAAATCTGTCTGATTTCTTTTCCCTTTCGCCAAAACTACCATGTTTTAATTAAAAAATAATTCAATCACGATTTCAATTTATTTACCCTTTCTTTGTTATTCAAGAAAATCATTGTTTTTACGCTATTCATTAATTTTTTATATCACGCCGACATACTTATTTCATTTCATATAAATTTATTGTCATACTTAAAATATTTTAACCATTTATATAGATGATACATACCCATAGATTTCATAAATATTTAAAAATAATCAACCCCTTCTTCGTAAATGTTTGCTTTGTTGAACTGTAATTTTTTTTTCCAATCCATTGATGAGTTTAATTTTTGAAATACTGATCATATTCGACATTTCAAAATTTTAAACATAATTAACCACTGGTTAAAGAAAGAGATTCTGAACAAAATTAAATTGAAAAGGATGTAGATTTTAAAAAATAAAATAAAATACAACAAGTTTCTCCACAAAATTGGCCACTGATTAGTGTATAGCAAATCCTGCCGTGTCTTCAACTGTGAAAAAGCAAAAACAGCTGTATTCTCTGTTTATCATTCATCGATTGCTAATTCACTGGCTTTGGCTGGCTTCTCAGTATACCATTGTCAACTAGAGGCTGCAGCTCATTTCTTACGAGTTTCTGCACCTTGCGATCTGATGATTCCACAAACGCAGAAATAACCTTACAGCTGCAAATCACAACCATAACAGCAAAACAAGATGTAATTAAGTCCTTCGCAGCCTGCCTAATTGGGTGAGATAATTTATCAAATAATAATATGAAGTTCCAACGAAGCCTACCTGTGACCACGTGCCCAAATCTCGCTCTTCCCTTTTAAGGCTTTGTCCCATAAGGTAGAAGCGAAACTGGGGCAATCCAAAACAAGTTTTCTAATGGTCCGACTGGAATGAAAATTCTCAAGGACATGTTCATCCTCTTCTGATTTTGGTGTTGCTGCAAGAGATGCGATTGCTTCATGAAGCGAACTTATCTTGTCATCCAAGACTGGGCGGAGTATGCCATCACAACCCCAAGTTGCAACCTGCATCATTCTCAGATCACAGAAAATAAGACTTCCAGGTGACAAAAAATCTATACAACTCACAAAATTGACGAATCACCGATACCATATTTACTACCTCGTAAATGACATCTTTGCCAAAATTTGATTGTATAAATTCTCCAGCATTCTCAATACATAGATCAATGAGACTCTGCATGGTAGTCATTTACCCAATCAAAATGTAAATCATGATTCGACATCAAAAAGAAGGGGACGATTTATTTAAGAAAATAAGAAAAGAGGGAAATATGACTATGAACAAGGATGAAAGAAAGGAAGGTAAAAATTATTAGAATGAAAGCTAAGGTACCCCACCCACCTCTGCAAGTCCACTCTTGATCAATAGTTCTTGCCTTCTAACAAGTGGATCCTTTTTCCCACTCTCAACTAGGTGAGAATCCTCCCCAGAAGTTTTATGTTTATCGGCTTCACCTTCCATGTCCGCCTCAGCGTCCTCGTCACTATGTTCTTCAACCTTAGAAGTTTTATCTTTATTGACTTCATCTGCTGTCACTTCCATGTCCTCCTCAGCCTCCTTGTCACAAGGTTCTTCAACCTTGGAAGTTTCATTCTGAGTGCCCACTTCTGAGCGATCCTGAATGAAATTCAACTGAAATGAGACTTCGCTTCTTTAGATCTCAGAAAACAAGAAATAGCATCATTACTGACCTTGACAAGAAGTGATGGTATATATGAATTCAAGGAAGCAAGGTCATCAGGACTGAAATAGCGGGAACAATTAGGATGAAGCAATTGGAGTAAAACACACCGCCCAGTCTGAAAAAAATCACAAATAAAACACAAAAGGAGTTAGGAGTTATAAAGCCAGAAAGCATTAAGAGCCAAATCATAAGAAGCAAACAGTATATGATCCGTCCACGTTATTTTGGGGAGGGTTAGTCCCTATCACTTGATAAAAGATATATTATGTCTTTTATAAGCATTAAAGTTAAAGAGAAAAAGACCATAGAAGACACCTTATCCAAAACAAGCTCCTTTAAAAATCTTTGAAGCTCAGAAATGATAGCCTGTAACGAAAAAATTTTTAAACCTTAATATGAGATGGACATTCTTTAGATATACTCAATAAAGAGAAAAGCAGCACAAGAAGCAACCTTTGTTATCAGTTTGTGTCATCAACAACTGAAATTATGCAGACTAGCACCTGAAAGTATAACGATAACCCATGGTAATTTAATTTAAGCATATTCAAATTTAGTCAGGTCATAACTGGTCATTTCCCTTAAAAATTGACCATTTCAAAAACAATATTGACAACAAGTAATTTAATGATGCTATTATATGAATATGACAAGCTATGCCTTGGCTACAAAACATAAACCCTAAGTCACATTCCTTACCATGCATCCATATTTGTGATAAGCTATTTTGTCTATGTGGCCTTTCATTCCTTTGATAATCTTCTTCCTTTCCTAAAATGGAAAGTCAAAAGAACAATCACATGTAAGAATAAAGTCATCAAAAGGCACCGAGTTTATTGACTGTGCAGGACACTGCTAAACAAATACCTTGGCACTCCCATGCTTTACACAAAGAATCCCAAGTTGGCCCCATCCCTTGTACCAATCATTCTAACCAGGAGCGGACTGGACAGTTGTTCTATTATATCTCTGACAGAGGACTTTTCACAAATTTACTTTAGATAACAGGAGAGATACGGCCACAGCCAAATTTCTTAGTCATGATACAAACATGCAGAGTTAATAAGGGAAGGGTAGAGAAGAACCTGATCAGCGATGCTTAAATATTCCGTCAATAGTTTGTGTATTATTGAGTGGTCAACTATTCCTTTCTCTAAAATTGGTTGGATCACTGATGTCATATGTCGCAAAACTGAAACTTTCTGAAGTCCTAACTTGGAAATTACATCTACTAACCTGATATGAAGTTAAAAGTCATGAACTGATTGGAGCATTAGAGAAAGATAAAAACTATTATTGGAAAAAAGGAAAAGCAATTAATATTGACTAAGGATACAGAGCTTCTAAAGGCCAAATGTAATTGATCAATCCAATCAAACTCAATGAAATAGAGCACGTATGTGCGAGACATCAAGAAAAACACAAGAAATGTTTCATCTTTGTTATGTGCAGAGGATGGATTTGACGTTTTGCAGGCAATATAGTTTCCAAGAGAGCAACCAACCAACTATATATTCCATATCCCGGTAGTTATTTCTCCTCAATATGCTGGTACTTTTAAAAATAATTGATGATAAATGAGAAACTTAAGAGAGGTTATTAATGAAAATCTTCTATAACTGCTACAGGTTCTAAGCGCTGAACTTTTACCTGCCTTCCTTCAAGGAGACAAGGTCCTTAAAT